ATGTATGTCAGAAACTATAGTTTACTGCTGAACTCATTTTGTCATGGTAAAATAACACAGAAATCGAATAATAACACTTCAGTCTACTTCAGTCTCCTGCCGAAGCTCAGACGCCGCGCTTTGAGAAACTGTAAATCACAGCTGTCAATCACGATGACACGCCCAGCATTAAATTACTGCTAAAAACAAACTGTTTACAAAAATGAAGATCTGCACCTATTTCAGCACAATAACCAGTGCCTTAATCGACCAGAACTATCTTTCGGGACATTTTATTGCAAGTGTAATATTTTTTTTTATTTGGGCTCAAGTCTCCTTCATTAACACGGAGGAGGCGGGCTTTATGACTTGTACTGCAGCCAGCCCCCAGGGGGCGATCTAACGGCCGAAACCTTCACTCAAACGTAGGCTTGCGGCACACTTGGCTCAGACACTTTGTAGAGAGGAATTTAACACAACTGCCTCTAGGAGTCGCCAATGGAAATAAAACAGACACGCACAAAAAATGTGCGTACGCCTGCCAGAAACCTGCCGTGAACCTGCGCACATTCCCACGTTCAGTTCATTGTTAGTAAATCCAAACGTGAGCGATTCTGAGCGTGAAACCTGGCGTACGCAAAGTTTTTGTGCGTATGCAGCGTTGATACATGAGGCCCCAGATCTGCACGCTCAGACGGCTAGACCTGCACTTCCAGACCTGTCGTTTTCTCAGACAGTGCCACCTGCTGTTTAAAAGATCCTAACCTGAATTCAGCTGCTTTTAAATTGTTACTTACACTATTTTTCTACTATAAAATATTACGCTATGATTGAATACATTATTATATCAAATATTAAGCATACTAGATTTTAATTTAATGCAATAATTCTGTTTTTTTTTTATTAGTTGTATTTGTGAATAGATATTGTTGTTACTTCAATATTTCAGTCATTTATTTTTTATTTATTTATTTATTTATTTATTTATTTATTTATTTATTCATTTATTTATTTTTACAAGTTATCAAGCAGGAAACAATGCAGAGAAAAATGGTGAAAATAATAATTGGATTACTAATAACTTTTTAACATAGAAAATAACATAAAATAAAATAAATGCTTTACATTCTTGTTAGGGGGATTTTTCATTTCTCAAGCAAAAAACTGTGGAAATATCTGCAGCCTTTGGTGCATTGTATTAGTGTTGGCAGAGACCACCCTTTTAAATTGTATATTTGTCTGGGAAAAGCATACACATCACAAGCAAATTATTTTTGCTTTAACCTAAGAGAGCTCATATTGTAAATTCTTTGCAGATTAACTGATATTTTGATTTTCAAAAAACTTTGGAATTATTACCGAACTTATTAACAATTGTTAAAGTGATATTGTGTTACTGTTATTGTCTGTGCTAGCACTTTTAGATAGATAATACAGTAATACGTACAGTAGACCTACACGGCACTAAAATATGTTGCAAATAATTATTGCGTTATATAATAAACTTTTTATTTTAACCTTTTTAGTTTTTTTATTTTGCCAGAAAATATTGCTAGAAAAGTGTCCCGGAATGCTACAATAACACAAAAGCAACAAGAGCAAGCTGTAAATATCATACACTAATGCTATCTTTTGACACTAATTTTGATCAAATCAAACACTGAAATAATTGTTGGTTAGTGTAATATTTTACACCACATTTATTTGCGATTGCGTGCAATTTGCGATTATTTGCGTGTGATTGGTTCTCCATGCCTGCAGCTTCACCTTACTTGTGAAGATTGCTGTTTTTTTTAAATGCATCGATTTTGTATTGGATGACAATTCACCGAAAGCCATGGGACTGGTTGACTGAAATTAAAAGTCTGTGCATATACCCCATTAGACAGAAATACAAATAGTTCTTATAAAGAGTAGAAGTACAGGACAGAAGTACAGGACAGTCGACTTTAAAAAAAGAAACTATTCCATTCCTTTCTGTTTAAGAAAAAATAATTAGCTTGACATTATGATGACTGATATTGACAGGATCACGTGTTGATTCTGTAACATACCGTTCAGTTTTGAGTTTGAAAACATTTTAATGTGACATTTGTAAAAGGAAAAGGAGTAAGTAATATTAGTTAACAGTCTCTTGTCCTGTTTAGCAGAGCATAGAATTGAACAAAAATGCAACCATTGAAAACTGGCAGACTATTCACACTAATATTTATTATGATGATATAAAAAGATGCATTTTATAAGTTAAAGTTTCGATGTTTTTTTACAGTGTGTTTGGGAAAGGCCTAATTACATCAGTTTTGTCCATAGTTTATGTTGTATTTACAAAGCAAACATTTCAATCAAAGCTTTGAAAAGCGTCTCTCATCACTAGGATTTGTGTAAGGGAATAATTATATTTGCATATTTGTCTAAGAGAAAGATAAGTGCTTCCAAAAAAAATACTGCAACTAGGTCTAAAGTTTTGCCTTAGACAGAATCTCTGCTTAAATGGCTCAATATCATTATGAAGTGCCCTTTGTTGTCCCCATCACAATCATGGAGTCATTTTGTGTAATAATAATATTCTGGTTGGATACAAGTAATGTATAAGTACTTTAATACACTTTTGTACAATAATATCTGCATTTAAATTGGTTTTCTTTATTTTATTCCACTTTCTTCTAATGCATTACTGCCCTTCTCTTGTGTCCCTCATGCTGAACAGCAGACATCAACCAAGCCTAATAATGATAAAAAAACACATAATCAAACAAATTTCCACGTTCCTTTATTGTTGCCATTAGTTAATAGCAAATAAAAAAGGTTTTTGCCAATTTATTTGTATTTTTACAAAAATATCTTCAATTTCATATGCGTCCCTGAACTTAATGTCCACCCTGTCATTATGGGTCACTTGGCCCTTTAATTACTAATATGATGCAATCAGTGACATCATCACCAGAAGGTTGACATATTTGAACTGTGATCAGACCAACAGCATCAGAAAGAGTAAGTACTTCATCTTATTTTTCATGTTTATCATCATTATATGTTAATTGTTTGATGTGGTCACGCATAACATGTCCACCCTGTTGGCGTGAACATCTGAAAAGTAAATTTTTTTTTTTTGCCAATTTTTTAGGTATATTTGTCAAAATACTTCAAAGTCACCTTCAAGTTAGCTTGTTATGCTAGCTAGTGTCCCACCATGTGCTTAATAAAAGCAGATTAGCTAAAATTGTCCACTCTGTCATTGTCCACCCTGTCATCAAAGCTGCTATAACAGGGTGGACATCAACCACTGAGATGGGTAACAAGACTACGTATCACATTTATTGACAATTTAGAAACAATAAAACTGATTGTGAAAACATATTTTACTGTATTTAATGTGTGCTGATAGAATACATTTTTTTCTGAGAAGTATGGGACTTAATGGAGCTGAGATAGCAAGGTGTTACAGAGAGCATCGAGATGCAGATCCAGACAGAAGAAAGTAGTATCTTGAGGAAGAGAGAGCCAGGTGGCAAAGAGACAGGCAGACTGAAAAGAAGAAGAGTGTCAGAGAAATAAGTGAGCGTGAGAGGAGAGAAAAGAGAAAGAGATGGAGGGAGGCTAAAAGACAAGCCAGAGCAAAGGCCAGGAGGAATGCTTTGCCTGTGTCAGATACACCACCCATCTCTCCTGAAGCTCAGCATGAACCAGGGCCATTCAGGTTGGAATAGTAGACAGTAGACATTTAGGGATAAACTTAAGCTGGTATAATGTATTTTGAGATATTACTTGTATGAAGACTATGTCTTGACTGACTCTCTCTTTTATACGCAAGCAAGCACAGAAGCGTGTGCACATGCAGGCTCACACACTCTCTCTCTCTCACACACACACGCTAAGGACACTCGAAATTTTACCTGTATGTGCGTGCGTATATGGAGAGAGACTGAATGTGCATTTTAGAGATTTATTTAAGTATTAACTATCTTAACTGGTTTTGAAGTAAAAGTTTTAGGGGGAGTGTAAAAAAGTTTGTTTTCACAAAAGCGTCAATGAAAAAACATTCAGAAAAAATTAACAATAAAACTAAAAAAGCAGATTCAACAGCTGGAGATAAAACCATCACACATATTAGTATTTCGTGATTTTAATGGTAAAACTGAAATGTTGTAACGTTAATAAATTGTTTGAGCTGTTCGTCATCCCAGAGCATGTTCTTGAAGCCAGGGATATGGAATCAAAGCCAGGGATATGGAATTTGTTAAGACAAAAGGGCACTGTATACATCTGTTCTTTTATGACTCTGTTTAAGTGTGTTATTATTGACACTTCTCTGTCTCTTCCTTCAGTTGTCCTCCCTGTCATGTTATTGTCCACCCCATTATATGTCATTGTCCACCCTGTCATATGCACTTTAACTGAAAAAATAAAATGTCTTTATACAAATGACAATCTTTAGCATTGGTTCTTTTAGGAACATTTAAGCATAAATTGGTTTTGGATAAATTCTGGTCAGATATGTTTCCTATCTTATTTTTTACTTTAAATGGTATGTAACTCGGGCAGAGCTCTGATAGCAGAACATAGTTTTTTGTTATTTCCAAAGTTTTTGAAGTTCTTTCTAATTAAGAAAAATATAAATATAAGAGAAGGGACAGAAATATTTTCCAAAGGTGTATTTTTTTAGAATGATAACACTGTCAGAAATATTTGCTTTCTGTATCATTTTGTCCCTGACAGGGTGGACATATTTTGTAAGTTAGTCCACATGTTTTTGCTTATAATTGTTTTATTAAAGGTCCAGGAGCTGGACCAACCAGCAATTGTTGAAGTTTAAAGTCTTCTTAAAAGAATAAACATGTGGTTTAATGAAAAACTTGAACACTGTCTTAAAGAAATTTTCATCTGTCAAAGGACCTATGGTGATATTGACCCAAATTTAAGATTTGAAGCTTTTTTACAGTGTGACTGTCTGCAGCAACGAGTTGAAAGCGCGAAATCGATTGTGCAGGTTCCACTATCATCCCTTTCTTCGGTTGTGTTGTCGATTATCGACTACTCTCGGCTGTAGTGTACAGCGATGGCGAACAGCAGCAGTGAAACAGTAGCAGCTTCCAAACCAGAGGTATTTCACAACTATCGGGACAGGAATAGATGTTCACCCGAGGAGGAGACTCGATTAGAGAAACAGCATTTCTGGAACGTCATAAACGCGTTTAAATATTACAGGTAAACAGTACTGATGATGTATTAAAGTCCCATCTACTCCATTCCAGAAACAGATGAGCCACTGTTCATTATTTGGGTTTTCATTTGGAACATCCAGGAGCAAAACATAAACTTACTGAATTATGTTATACGTGTTTTTGATATCACTGCATTTGAGGGCAAAGCTTATACAGCTGTGATCTAAATATCTGATTACGTTTAACATTTGAAAGAAGAAAGAAGAATTTAAAAGGTCCACTAGAAAACGTTTTCCAGGAATTACTGGACTTTCAGAATGTGCAAGTTGGTCAGAATATCAAATCTTTTCAAGGTTATTTCAATAAATAATTTATTTTTTTCTTTCTGAAGAATCACTGATGTTGTGTTGCTTAGAAATGAATATATACATGGCATCTTTATATTATTTTACACAAAAAATGCTCATTCATTGAATTTTTTTTTAAATAGGAAGAATAATAGGCAATTTAGGCAAAAACAATTATAAGAAATACAGAAAATATCTATCTATCTATCTATCATCTATCTATCTATCTATCATCTATCTATCTGTCTGCCTGTGTACATATCTATATGTCTGTCTGTCTGACCGTTCGTTCGTTCATTCATTCCTACCACCCACCCACCCCATCTATATCTATCTACAGTGCTCAGCATATATAAGCACACCCCTCAAAAATCTGTCTTTTAAATTAATATTTTTAATAGGAAGCTATACAATATTATATTTGTGCATATACATTAGATTAGTCAGTACTAAAGCCAAGTCTGGAGCTCATCTAACAAAAAAACCTATAACGTTCCAAAAACTAGTACTCCCAGATTTCTATGTTATAGAAAAATATTAACTACAAAAACAAAAAATAATAATAGAAAAATTTAGTTAAAATTTTGTAGGTTTAACCTTTTTTTTGCAATATTTTGCTTGGATTAATGGTATTATCTTTTAATTTCTATGTATGTTAGATAAAAAATACTCATTTTCAAAATGGTAGAATTCTATCTATCTATCTATCTATCTATCTATCTATCTATCTATCTATCTATCTATCTATCTATCTATCTATCTATCTATCTATCTATCTATCTGTCTATCTGTCTGTCTGTCTGTCTGTCTGTCTGTCTGTCTGTCTATCTATCTAATCTCAAATGCCCTTAAATGTTCAGAAGTAAAGCTCCCCATCCTCAGTTTATTTCATGTCTTCCACTGTCTCAGAACTCATGTTCATGAACGAGTGAATCGAGCCGAACGGCAGTTCCGATGCCTTCCAGATCACCACCAGCAGCTTTTGACCAACTTCCTGCCACATCTAAACAAGCTCCGCTACTGTATCGACCAAAACCAAGAAGTGCTGCAGGCCGTTGTGCACAACTGCCTCCATATGTTTGAGAACATGGAGTATGGACAGGATGTAGGTGGCGATCAGTAGGTCTTACAATTAATAACATTGTATATAGATTCTTTTTTTTTTTTTTTTGACTGTCGTGATTTTAGAAGTGTGACTTTAATAATTATTTGTAGTAAATTTATTCAACTTTGATATTGTCATTGCTTTTTAAAGGTTGACCCAAGGAAAGTACGGCCTTCCTCGACTTTTGATATGGACAAGCTGAAGTCTACCATAAAGCAGTTTGTCCGTGACTGGAGTGAAGCAGGAAAGGCTGAAAGAGACAGCTGTTATAAACCAATTATAGATGAGATCCAGAGACTCTTTCCTCCTGACCAGTGGTGAATATTATGTTTTCCTTTAACTGCTTTCATTTCACTGGATATGTGTCTGTATGTTTTTGTTATTGAGAAAATATATTTTATATTCTTTAATTTTACTTTTGCATGCAAAAAGTACTTGATTTAAAGACATTTTTCTTGATTAGCTCTGACCACCCAAATTTTGATATACATAGTAGCCTATACCAGTGGATCAAAACCCTTCATCAATTTGACCAAAACAATACTCATAATTATCTTATATTTTTGATAAACCTTTTTTGATCTACATTAAAGGTTGACTACAAAATTCCAGTATCACTTGTAGTTATATCTAAACTATTTTTAATTAATTAGTTTTTATTGCCGACTGAAGTATTAATGTAGTTTGAACTATATATTTTATTATATTACATTAATCCAAAATGCATATGTTAAAAATGATAATATTTAGACTGTCAAATTGCTTGATTTATAATAAACATTATAATAAACTATATCGTAATATTACTTTTTAGTATTGCAGGTATAGAAAACTTGATTTTTCATTGTTCTTTATTTGCACCCTCAAATAATATTCTTTTAAT